CGTCGTCGCTTCGCGGCGTCTTGACACCGGTTGTCATTGTCTGCTCATCGTCTCGCAGCATGATAGGTATGTGGACGGATGTTCAGTTTGTTCTCGGCCACGGGAGCCGTAGGGCCACTACGAATGTCTTCTGCGCACATAAGATCGGGTTTGTGAGGCATCTAGCGACGGCCTCTGCCGTCGCAAGTATCCGTTGACGCAGGAACTTGGAATGTTTCGCCGGCACTTTATACAAGACTCGAAACGCTTGGTTAACGTCTACCCGGTAATCGCTGTCAACCAAGTGAGCCAAAAGCACGCTAGATATTGACTTTACCTCGCCTCTGTTTAGCCAGGCAGGATGGTGTTCCCGCATGCACTTGGATAGCCGCCTAGTTGTTCGACCAATGTAAACAGGGGTGAGGTAACGTCAATATCTAGCGCGATTTTGGTTCACTTGGTTGACAGAGGTCACCGGGTAGACGTAAACCAAGCGTTTCAAGTCTTGTATAATGTGCCGGCGAAACATAACTCTCGGAAATGACGGTCAGAATTTCCAAACCTGACTTATTATAGCAGACTAATCGGCCCATTTTCAACAATTATCCGGAAAGAATGACAGTTTGAAAGATTCACGTCGTACATATATAGATAGGTGATGCGTAATGCCTTCAAAAATGAACATAATCTGGGCGCCGCAGTTGAAAGAAATGTAGCGACCGCCGAGTTTTAATGAAACATCCAATATAACCCATAATCTTCATGATTTGATATGACGGTTGCATTTTTATTTAACCTGAGACCTATTCTTCCTAGGGACGTTAATCTTGTGGACCATATGTTAACAATAATGCAGAAATATTCTGCCAAACTGGAGACTCAAGTACGGGAACGAACATTGGAACTGAGAGAGGAAAAACAGAAGACGGAGGCTCTCATAGCTAAGATGCTGCCACTGTAAGTATTTGACATATCAGTGGTCACTTTTCGACCTTTACAAAGTATTTTTAAAGTAGCATTCAAGGTGGTGCACATGTTGGCGATTTCCGGAATAGCTCTGCTAAGTTTCCTTTTTGGGGCATTTTTCAGACCGGTTGCTCAAGCACTGGTGGCTGGAAACCCTGTGCATCCGGAAGCGTTCGACAACGTCACCATTTACTTCAGTGACATTGTGGGATTCACCTTGATCTCCGCCAAATCTACGCCGCTACAAATTGTTGACCTTCTCAATGACATCTACTCTACATTTGACGCAAAAATTAACAAGTTCGACGTTTATAAGGTTGTTTTTTAACTATGGTTTTATTTAAGGGATAGAAAGAATTCTATGAAAAGCTACGGCGACTTTAAATTTGACTTTTGCAGTTAATGAAGTGCATGAACATTTTATTCTACAACACTAGTCGATTAATATTGCCTTATATCTTGACTATCCACTTCCCAAGTATACACTTCCAAAGTGGAGTATCTTGGTTATCCACTTATCAGTGTTAAATTATGACAGGATACCTCGGCAGAAATTGGCTGAGATTCAGGAAGCGATTTTTCCTTTCCCATGATACAATGTTTAAGTCCCGAACCAAGTTAATAATATAAAGGTATGTTTGGCTACCGTAAGCCTTTCCGAGGCAGAATCGCCATGTAAACGAGAAATAATAATCAAAAGTACTAATGAATGAACTGGGTTATATGGGCGTTCGCGGTCTGCATACTACAAACTTTGGAAGATCTTATTTAGAACAGGCCTTGGAGGAGAATCTATCAGTTTTTCTTGCCTGAGTAAATTCTATTGCTCTCGCTAATTCGGTTTGTCGGCATGGGAGTTTGCAATGCAACCACGGTTTTGAGCTATATTGTGACGTTTAGTCTACCACTACTACCGTGTGGCCACGGGTCTTTCCTCTAATCACAAGGCGAATAAAAGATGAATGTATTTTTTACAAAAAATGGGCATAGAAGATTACCTGAATACAGTTAATAATCGATTTGGCTTTTAAAGAATCGGAAAACCACTTGTTGTGTTTTCTAAATGTTCACTTTGACTAAAATGAATATCCTATTAGGAACTGAAACTTATAGACCGCTAAATATGTCCTGGATTTGACTTCCGAGTGCAAAAATATTTGAGGCTAAGCTGTGTCCAATTTGGCAACACGTTTACCTGAGGGTGCAACCTCCCGGCGGGTCCGAAGAAGTCGGACGAATTCCACTCCGCTTTCCAAGTGAATTTGTAAACAGTCATCCAGTTGCACCTGTTACACAGTTCTCGTCATTAACAAAAGGCAACTGAACTGTAGCATGAATAAACACCTCAAGTGTTTCGGTGGTAAAACGTGCGCAGAGACATCACACGCTAGTAAAGTGCGCAGTGCCATACTTCCGAAAGATAAGTCAATTTCAACTGTAGTCCAAAAATATAGGGCTACGTTCAGTTCCAGCTCATAACTTTCTAAAAGACTCCCTCAAACTGCTTTCTAAATCGTTAACAGAAAAACAAAACAAGAATTAGAAGACAGTAGTTTTACATAAGTGATGTTAAGGTGGCCTATAAGAAACCGCAAACACTCCGTATAATCTACTTGATTCAACAGTTATTGTGAAGTCTACATTCACGCAGGGATAAAGCGCAAGTTGCTACAGTTTGGCTCCCCGGCCAAAATTCGTACAATCCTCAAGTGATTAGAACACGTACACTTTTTTCTCATAGAATATAGAAAACACGGGGATTTACCTTTGGCGCGTGTGAACCCGATTTGTTTTATTTTCCAAATGTCTGACTGGTTTCGCATGAATAAAAACGGTTGGGTGCTGAGCGTATAGATTCTTAACCACCTCTCTTGCATTGTGATTGTATTAATAATTGTTAAACATTTTTCACCTTCAAGGATAACCAAAAATATAACTGATATTCAGCATAATTAAGAAAGAGCTCCCCTGCAGGACCTACTGAACTCTAATTACTACATGCGATCATTAGCTCTACCATCGCCAGATACTTTGCTATGGTGTCCCTTTGTTCACATTAATTCACGTCCACCCTTCGAGCTTCTGCAAACATACAATCGATTTCGCTTTTCAACCTTTTGGCTACCTGAGCCGGAACTGAAATAGTAAAAACGTAATCATTAGCAACCAAAAATACAACTAATCTGCTTCCAAAATCTAGGCACTCAGATTTAATACTTATTTTACGAGAAGTTACGATGTTACAAACAATTAAACTAAATATTATTTTATGCTAACCGGCAGCTTCATTCAGGTGGACATTTCGTACAGCGGAACTGATCACATGTTAAATGTTATACAAGTTCTATTTAGTTAAAAACCATTTAGTGTGGATTTTTCAATGAAAGCTTATCGCTTTCGTACGGTTTGAGCATATTTATCAGCTATTGCAGAAGAGCATATAGGAACTGCTAAGTCACTTAACACCATATGTGTATAAAAAGGAAGAACAAAGTTATCAAAATTTAACACGACAGTAAAGTTTCGAATGACCTACATTCAATAAATAAGGACGCTTGAAATGCCGTCAAATAATTTACGGGTAAGTTCCGTTTGCTCTGCATAGTTTCTAAGTGTTCCGTTCAACACTGCCTCCCAGATATTCAACAGGTTGCTAAAGCGGGATTCAGCGCACAGTGGCTACTCATCATTTTGGCTAAAGTAAACCTTCCAGAAGCATTTAACAAAATCTACTTGACTCAATAATGCCGGAAAATTCTACTTAAGAGAAGGGTTGGTCCACAGACTGGCGCCAGTTTTTCCCAGTTTAAGGAGTATTCGTTTCTGAACCAAACTGACAATTCCCAAATAAAGCTCTTCTATCCTCTCTCGTGCCTTGTGGGTCACAGGTGGAGACAATTGGTGACGCCTATATGGTGGCCTCTGGTCTTCCTATCCGCAATGGCAATCTGCACGCAGGAGAGGTAGCAACCATGGCCCTAGAGCTGCTCAGCCTCAGCGCTGCCCTGGTAATTCGACACCTGCCAGATGTGCCCATCCTCCTTCGCATTGGCATCAACTCCGGTAGGTCCATGTTTGTGAATACTAATACAGAATAGAAAATACAACAAGGTGAACTGTCATCATCATCATCAGTTTACAGTTAGGGGAAGATATATGCGAATAATAGTCCTAATGCTGTCAGATCTAGAGCAGAATTGAAAGCACTAGTAAAGATTTCAGACATTCACTGCGACCTGAAAAGGCGATGCTGAGTTGGCGTATAAAAATCTATACCTGCCCTAAAATTCCAGAACAATTAACAACGTTCGATCAAGTGCTTTCCGAAATCCAAGTTTGTGTTATTTTTAGTCTGAACCCCTTTATTACTCTTCTCACAACACATTATAGCAAAACACAATTGTATGCCCTTTTACTCATCATCGCTTTTTAACTTTGAGCTGTATCGGAACGCATAAAGTAATAAGCCGAGCATTTAAATAGGTCTTCAATCGGTCGAAGAACAAACGCGAAAAAACATAACCTCAACTGTTCTCTCGCCTTATAACATGGTGGCTTTTACATTGATCACATTCCAATCACCCGACAAAACCATGCCTCGAAAAATACTATTAAATTATTGTTTATTCTCTATTTACAACGAATTTACTTATAAATCCGAGCATACTTTAAAAAGTGGCTTTCAAAAAATCGTTTTTATTCACCTCACGGGAAATTCGACCTTACTTCATTCTTGTGTTCGAAAGAATTGCGTAAGTTAGATTTCACTGACTCAAATGTTAGCCCCTATGCGTGTACTCAGTACACGTTTGTACGATCCATCGCCATTCACACGCTATGTACGGAGTTAGGAAACACTTAGATGTGGCTGAAATATGCATGTTTTAATAGCCTAAAAGCAAGCTGCACACATACAGTAGGTGCACATTCTCATGAAAAACGTTGGAAAACGTAATGAATGTCATTTTGATGGAAGTCAGCACACGCGGCTTGCCCCTAAATTATCATCACAATATAGTTAGAACTATAATTAAAGAAGAGTCAGAGTTAAGTTGGGAAATTACCATTTGCTAGCATAGAAAAATGTAATTTTCACAAAAATCTGCTAACTCAAGAA